AAGAAATATTTGCAAATATATGAAGGAACTTGCTGCAAATTGAGAATAGTAAACACCTGACTCCATCAAACGTACCTCAAAGTCCATAGTAGACCATCATAAGAACGTCTCTTACTGGCATCCTCTAGAAGCCTGTCATGTACAAGATTAAGTAAACCAAAGCAGTCCACGGTTACAGATGCTATTAGTATGACATTGAAATATTAGGAGTAGCACATCTGCAATTTGTAGCAATTACAGTGCTATGGGAATAAGGTATTTCAATCAAGTTAGTCATCAAAAATTGTCCCAAGAAAAGGCTAGCAGAAATAAAGCCATAAACTGCCAAAGGTACAGCCATCATAAGAGAATACAAATTGCCAAGTGTTCAGAAATTGGTAAATATGAAATCAAAACTAATGTACAGTGCACTCCTGATTTGCACTCGGAGAATTGTGTTTGCTTGTTTACTTGGTTAAGGCAGCATGTCCAAGAGAGAAAAAGGGAGAAGCCATATAGAAACATACAAAAATAAGAAGCACAACAGTAAAATGTAACCATCACTCAATCGATAAACACGTTCACGTATTATTTGAGGTGTACTCTAAACACTATCTTAATTAGCTTAAATGTATGGTCTTCTCAACTGCTTCTCGCGTTTAACATAGTAACCAATGAAGTATGAAAGGATAAAGTGGCAATAATATTCTAAAAGAGCATCATGCCAGAAAGTACAACATCAATACTCCTTGTTAACAAACAACTCCTAAGCTCTTAGCTACTGTTTTCGTACAGGTAAAGAAACAGAGATCCATGTATTAACTAAATATAACTTCCCAAATTACCTCTGAAAGTTTGTGGAGATGGCATCAAACCAGTAAATAAGGAGATCCTTGTTGATGCGAGTACAATAAGTCCGGACTAGAAAACCAAAAGCAGCGCACCTGGAAAAAAACTCATGTACTTCAGAGCACATATAAGTAATAAATAAAGTTTCTAGGAAAGCAGGGAACAAAGATAATTAAAAATAGTGCAAGGCCAGCATCTAGACTGACAGAATCAATAGAATTTACAAATTGGAACGAAGGGATGTGATACGCCACTGAACCTTATGCTCCAGCTTTACAAATTGAAAAAAAGTTACGTGTTGATAACAAACCAATGGTGTATGCTCATCAAACGCATTCTTATTATATGGCTACACATATGTCTAGAAGACATCAGCAGATTGGATATCCTCTACTAATGCTCAGTTAAGAAACATACCACAGCCATTTTCCTTCAGTGAGTGCCTCCACCAGACGCGATGCAATATGTTGCCTTCGAGCTCGTTTCTCTGACAGTGGTGGTCTAGTAGTATTGACAACTGCCTGCCAAATTTCTGAATATCAGCACTCTTCCCCTCCCACATTCCCTCCAGACACAGACACATTCAAATATACACAAGGGTGTGAGGAAACACGCATTTATGTGATGGGATTCAATTGACTGTAATGAGAAGAAAAAAGTAAAATCCAGACACTGCTGAAGATAAAAAATAAAAATGGTCGGTTGAGTTGGAACTCTGTTGCGAAGAACAATGTAATTTGAATATAAGATAGGTACCCGGTAAAGCACATGTGCAGCCAGCTCAACCAAGCTATTCTGATAGCTGCTCAATGCCCCAAACTTATCATCCTTTGTTGAATCACCCCTAAATAAAATTTTTAATTAGAAACGCATAACTTTATGAGATGTGTAAAAGTTAAATTAGTCATCCCTTAAAAGAGGAGGCCCAGAAAAGATATACCATGATGCAGAACTAGATGAACTACCATGATCCAGTTCACGAGTAACCACATCCAAAAGTTGTTCCACCAGAGAACTGGATTCACTAGAACCCCTTATCAAATTTAGCTGTAGCCTTCCATAAGAAGCAAGTATCTCCTATATAGAACAAGAAGACCCAAAAAAACTGACTTAGACCATGAAGACGTATTAAGAACAAAATCACGTGTTTAACAAAGGGCTACCACACACACACAAAACAAAACCTTAAGGTTCTTATCATGGGTTGTTAACCAGCAGCGGAAAACAAATTGTTGAACCGCATTATGAATTTCCAATGACAAGGAGCCTATATTAGGACCATCCTTCAGCAAGAACGAATTGACACATTCAATAAGCTTGCGTGAGAGCTTTCCCTCTTCTCTGGAAATTATTTAATAAGTTAGTATAACTTTAACTATTGTTTGTAAAGGTGGGTACAATGTGAGCGAGACATTGAGTAACAAATAAAATCAGACCTTACAAAGGAGAAGATATGAATGAGGCCATTCACAATTTCTTCTCGAAGGTCATNAGGAAAATCTCCCGGGGGNTTCTCTAGAAGTGANTGAAGCGTAAGGATATAACGAAAAGCCTCCTCCTTCTGGCTATGTTGACCACTNTTTTTCTCGCACANCCCTGCTTCCGCCCTTTCTATGTATAGCAACACCAAACCTTGCAGAAAACATTATATTTAATAAATATCCAACACCAGCCTACACTATCTATGACAAGACTAGACAATTAGAATATTTAGATTTGTAGAAAACTCACTGGAATATGTACGCTTCCTCATTTGGAAACGGTACTCCCTAATTTCCAAAAGATGGCGGAGTATGGTCCCGTACTCTGACTGAAAGCTAGGTGTATTGCTCAAAATATCATGTACATGTGTAAAGAGGGTTTTAGCCAGAGACAACAAAGGATATAGCACACCTGAGACATTAAAACAGACTAGTTACATAAGCACTGAACAAGATGAACTCTTGCTAATAAAAGAAAATGCATCATCAAAGTGTAAGCATTAGGATACATTTCTGTGAGAAAATAACTAACATGCAGTACACACATGCGTATATGCATATTATAAGATCAACATGAAACGAATTCCAGACTTCCAGTTCCATAAACCCATTTTCCATCACTGTCACAATCTCCCAGCCTCTTCTAAGATTATATCTTCTATAAAGAAACATTCAGCAATTTTCCAGTTTTAGTAATTACAGGAAGCATTCAAAATCAGATTACAAAAAAAAAAAATTGACCAAAAGACTTAATACTTCTGCCCTTTGAATGACACCGTGAAGAGTCTTTGCAAACACAAAGTAATAAAGGACAATTTCAAAAGCATATTACAATGTTTCTCACCAGGAAACTTGGTTTCTTCTGCTCTTTGAATAACAACTCGAAGTGTCTTTGCAAAAGTTGGCTTGGGCATCCGTCGCTTACTACCTGAGACCTCCATTGATACACATTGAAGGAGAATTTTAACAAAAAAAGGCCACGTTTCAGCTGCAAGGACAAGTAAGATGTGGATTAACTTCAAAGCTTCATGCACTGTATGATAGCATCAAAGTTCCCGCTGGAAAAATCACCACCTACCATTAGGAATCTCTTCAAAGTTAAGCTTAGCAGTGTTTTGCGAAAGAAATCTACAGAAGGTAATTGACCTTTCTCCTTCAAGCCACGTATTCAATAACTTGAGTCCATCCTGGATAAACATATTATGTAAGAAATTCAATTCATCCACAGGAGCAACCTTGAAATGGAATATTCATAGATCATATGAATGAACCTAGTTCCATAACAACACTCAGGGATAGATACAGGAATCATACAAAATATAACCTTTTGAAGCAGCAGTATGATCAATCAAGAAAGTGAACATAATCTCATTAAGAAGTATGAAAGGAGCAAACAGTTTGGTAGCAAGACCTAATTACAACACAATTTAATTATCTTTTCGCAGATGTACACAGGTGAATAGAACAAAATCAGTATCTCAACTTTTTTCAACCAACTTTATCAAAAAAAAAAAGAACAAAAAATTCAAACCAAACCCACACGAGATAATCATAGAAATCGAGCTTTATTGCAGGCCCCAAACGAACGAAACCCCATACAGCGATAAAGAAAGGAAACGCCAAGGCATCGTTGTGACAAACCACAACGAAAATCAACAAAACATAGTTTCAACAAAAACCAAAATTCTGAGCCGTTTTTTTCCGCCTGAAACCCAAACGATAATAAAGGGTAAACGGAGAGTTTACTTCGCGAGTCTTGGCTTTATCCGACGAAAGCTTGGAGACGACCTCGTGGACGTCCCTCGAAGTAACCATGATGAAATCCGAGAACGGCGAAGAAATTGAATTTCTGGGGAAAAAGGTTGGTTCAGGGTTTATTGACGGGACTGTGGAGGACTCACCGACTATCACAACTTTTTTATATAAGCCCTTACAACTCTTACGCAATTGCCCAAATCGAGCCGTTATAAATTTTAATTATGCTATGGACTGACTAACTCAATTTTACCATTATTACATTAAAGCCCATGTATTTTATAACATACACCAATTTGCCCCAATCGAACCGTTAAAAGCACCCGGTTTTCGTAATAATTAAATTACACTTTTATTCAGTTCGGTTTTCTTCCTCTCTCTCTCTGGCCATATTCAGTTCGGGTCTTTGCTCACTACTTTCCGAGAGAAATCTTCTTGATTTAGTTGTGCATGTCACAGTGTCCATGTGATTGACGAATAAGTGTAATGTTTCTTAGTGTTCATTTCTACTTTGTGTAGTTCTATATCAAACAACCTATAATTACTGTTACTTTATTGGAGTATGAACACTAGCATAGGTTTGATTCCATAGAGAACTTTTCAAGCTTTTCAATTTCTCTCAGCATGGAATACATTCCAAAGAGAGATCAAACCAAAGTATTTTATATGTACATGAACAAGTACTTTAGATCTTGTTGGAAATATCCATGTATGCAAGAACAGCCCTTGAAGGGTAGAGATTATTTACTAGAGAGCCTCAAGGTAAACAATGAAAAACCTGAAGATGGATTTGAGGATAGTGTCAACATCGTCTACTTCTACCATCCAAAACTAAAGATGGAAACGCAAGAATAGAGTTCATACAAGTACATAAGTTACAACACATGGTACATTAGAAAGTCCCAAAAGATTGGATTGATGCATGTTAGGGATCGTTCAGGAAGAAGAAGAGCTAGGCATAGAACTCACCTTTTCCAGAAGACCCGTGATCTCGCTTTTCAGTTTTGCCTTCGTCTCTCTTGACAAACTGTCCCCAGACTTCTCCAGCATTGCTGTCATCATCATCAGATTCTGCCTCATCGAATCCACACTTGTTGGTGTATTGTTCAGTTGCACTACTGGACTAACGTGCGAGATTACTGGCATTCGCGGGGCTATGTTCCTTTGAACGGTTATTAGCTTCTGCTGTAACCTGAAATTCACTAAGGTTTCACCAAATGGGTTAGCTTTCTCTAAGCTTTTAACTGCTTCTATCGCGTCGCCACTACTCACAAAGGCAACCTGCGCATCACTATCTGAAACGTGTGTTTCAGAAGCATCCAAAGGGCCAAACGCGGAGAATGTCGAGGTTAGGTCATCTCTTGAAGGCATTGAAACTTGACTGGAAAATTTCAAGAAGAGAACTGTAATTCCTCTGGTTAGTCCATTAGGTGACTCCTCTTTCTTCCGGCGTCTTCTGCGCTGAGTAGGCTCAACCTGAGGCATAACCAAAGCTGGCTCTGTAGTGATTCCATTTAGATCAGGTATACCACTACTGTTATGTGCAACCATTGGAAGATCTGCTACATTCTTCCTCTTCCTTCCTCTCTTTTTCTTCCCGGAACTAGTGAAATTAGTAAAAAGATCTGCGCTCGTGAAGTTTCTTTCCGAAGCTGTCAGGTTGGAAACAAACCCCGTTCCCGAGATTCCATAAGTTGAACAGGGAGATGCCACCTGAAAGTTTACCATCATAGGTCTTGGTGTCTCATTTCCTTGTGGGAGGGCCTTGGGTGGAATTAAAGTCTCCGGTCTTTGTACATGGTCAAATTCTGCAGAAGCTAAAGCATTGCCTCCGCTGTTTAAGTCCGGTACAAGTGTAGCAGCAGGTCTGTTGAGTGTATCTGCCACAGAAGCTCTCCCTGGTGGAGATTGTACCCATGATTTTTCTTGGAAATCTTTCACAAACGGCTCATTTGCAACAGAGTTAGAAAAATCTGAGTGACCAATGATATGTTGGATCCTTGTCTTCCCTGATTTATTCGGTTTGGAGGCCTTCTGCTCATTATCTGGAGTTGAAACACCATTAAGTGTCTCGACATTTGACATCTCTGCTTTCTTCAACACAGAGGTCTTCTGCTCAGTATCAGCAACTGAAACACCACTGAAAAGCTTGATCTTTGACTTCTCTGGTTTCTGCGACTCAAAGGTCTTCTGCTCGGTATCAGCAACTGAAAAACCACTGACAGGCTTGATCTTTGACTTCCCTAATTTTTCCGACTTGGAGCTTTTCTGCGCAGTACCCTTATTTGCATCTTTAGCTCGCATCAAATCCTTCAAACCAGCCATGTTAGCCAACTGCATCTTGTAAGCACTTTCATCATGAAACACAGAAATTCTGAATTTGGAGAAGAACCACTCAATGAGGCCGATATTTTGAGTCTCTTCTGAACACTTGTTGTAGTCCACAGCAAACAGCTTGAGTTTGGATATCAAATCAGAAGGAGACGTGTTTGTTAGGTCGTCTCTCACAGATACATTGTCAACCTCACTTACAAATTTCCTAAACCATTGTTTCCGAAACCTATACCTGCTACTACCTGCAACAATGGATGGAGAACCAATGAACTGACTCGGTTTCATAATTGCAGTGAAACGTTTCCTACCCTCGTTTTGATGTAGTTGATCCATTGGTATCTTCTTATGCCCAATGAAAGAATAGAAAGCCGATAACCGGCTCTGTATAACTGTCATCTCAAGTACCCCAGCATTCGTGACACATTTCGCAAGATTCTTCAGCTCAGTGACAAACTTCTTTGGTTCCAACCGATCTACAGAGAATTCACACAGAATCAAAGGCTTTTTCTTCCAAGGTTTTCCGTTTTGAGCTGACATTATTCCATTCCCTTCAGCAATACAAGAACAAGTCATCTCAAGCTTCAATGAATTCCCCAACAAGGACATCGCTTTCTCTACCGCAATGAGAAAGCCCATGTCGTTTCTTTGATCCACCACTTTCTCAAAGCTCTCCTTGAAAGGCTTCAACTTAGAAGCCGCGCACCACGAAACAAGCTGGGTCTGACCAAGATATCTAACCATGAAACTCTCCTTTGCATCAGCTTTGAAATCAACAACTTCTCCTGGCCACCATTTCTTGGATTTATTCATCGCCCATACAAGATTCCCAACCAGAAACTCCTGAGATTGATCATCGCTGTATCCATAATCTGTCACCAAATTCTCATTCAGACAACTACCATTAGATTCAAAGACATTGTCAGAACTAATCCCAGTTAAAGAGCCACTAAAATCAACAACAAGCGATAAATTCCCCCCAGAGACTTCAATCTTCCTCACTTTGTCACCACCACCTTGAGCTAAACCTTCATCGTCTTCTTCCATTGATACTTCCGTCACCGGAAATTTCCCATCACATTTCAAGCCAGCCATTGCCTGAACTTCAGAATCTGCAGCCATTAGATTGGAAGATTCTCTTAGGGTTTTGTAATTTCATCCTTGCATCCAAAAAAAACCATCTTTCTGCGTTAATACACCATCTTGTTCCTCACATTTGACAAAGAAAAAAATCCCCCAAAACAATAATCAAACAATTTCGAGAAACCCAAAAGAAAAAATCGAATCAGGAACAGTAAACCCTTGATCAAAATCACAAACTGAAGACCCCCAATGAAAAAAAAATCAAACTTTTTTCTACAGAACAAAACTAGAAAAAGACAAGGACACAAGAAAATTTACCTGCGAGGAGAAAACCAAAGAAAAATCTCGACTTCCTTTTGATTTGTTGGGTCAAATGTTTTTCGGTCAAGCAATGTGACTCAGTTAGAAACGCAACAGAAATTGTGTGCC